AGTCAACGCAAGTTTAATACCTCCTCTTCCCCGCACTTTGGGCCATCTATTTTAGAACTGATAATAAGTGATAAAACTTCTCTCGTGAGTTGTGTCTTTGCATCATAGCTTGGATAACCCAGTACCATGCGCATCTATTGAAGTGGAGCCGCGATGATTGTAGCTCAGCATGCAGAAACGGTCCGTTTACATTTATTCTTGGGTTCAATTGAAGCCCGATGAGAACGGGTTGGGCACTTAATTGTCAGCAGCATGCGTATACACGCATCTCGAATCTTAGTCGTAATTCCATCTCTTTCATGTCCGAGCTCCCCGAACACTCCACTCGGCAGGTGGTGAGAGGTCACCATTCGCACAACCTGCTGTATAGTTATGGCGGCGCATTTATAGCGTTGATCGGGTGAGAGACAACCGAAAATTTTTCCTTCCTGAATGGTTGCAAATTCTTTGGGGCTAATTGAATATTAGCTCCTCCATGCCTAACAAAAACGCGAGAACAACAAATTAGGTCTTAATTCACCACAGGCAAAACTTGGCTCTACAATCAATAGCGTGATGTTTTAGGCTAGAACAATTTCTTAATATCCTGGTGCGACTAGTCATATTCATACATACTACTGTCCGCGCGTAGAGGTGAGTTTTCGTACTCCCAAGGCTGATGTTTGTGTTACATTGCAGGTGGCACACGCAGCTACCAGTATGGGGAACATACGTGTGCGTATACGAGCATCCTGTATACCGGCGTATGGAAGCTCAGCGTCCAATACGCTAGATACACTTTCTATAACACAGAGCGCTTGTTAAGCGGAGTTGAATAAATCATGTATTAGGACACAAAGATCATATACATACTCTTACCTTCCGAGTCAGCAGGGAGAACATGTTACGCGTAAGCAAATCAACAGTGATAGAGTCGTGCGCAGTGATTAAATGGCAAACAATATTTTTAAACGCTGAGAAAAGATAGCATACCGAACAAATATCAAGTTTAATAGATGGATAACTATGTGATAGTATTGCAGTCAAGGCAAAAGTATTCAGCAGAAATACTAACTCAGTCCTATACGTTGACCGTCGGGTATTATTGCGCCATTGTCCTGGATTTGGGAACCCCGGTCCCTGCACTCCAGAAAATGCTACCATAAGCTTAATGACCTCCGCATTCAGCCAAATACTCAGTGATCGGTACTTTGTAAAAGAGCAATGCCCTTCGCACGCAAAGTCTAACCTCGCGGAATATTTCTGCGGGTAGGTACTAGCCTGAAATCCTAATTCCATCATTTCCATCCCGAGTCCACTTAAGCTAACCCAATAGCCACGACAAGCCGATCAAGCACGGCATATCTGATTCGCGGGGAAAATGACTGAACTCAAGTACTTGGTCACAATACCCCCTTGCTGTCTCCATCAAATTAATATACCTAGACGTCGCACTAGCTAATAGGTCCGACTCAAGGCCCTGGCAGCCATCAGACTTGGGGCAAAGAACCCATGCAAGATACTTACACAGAACTCTCTTTGATTCTACCGATGAGAGCTAGCATCGACCACGCTGTGTTTGAAATCTAGCTATGCATGAGCCCAACGTAGATGAACTACTCCAAAGATAGGCGGCCGATCACCCCCGGTCCGCAAATCACACCAAATCTGGTATATATGAATGCTCAGCGATAATCCGCGAGCGATGCAGCCTTAACCTGTGGGCCGAGCACTTCCGTATGGTCAAACCACAGGACCAGCGGCTGTGGGAACGCCGATCATCCCCGTACGTGCTCAGTCAGTAAGATGAAAGGATAGTAGCCCATGTGTGATAGCACCATGGTGCATGATGCCATGGTGTTCAAGATCCGGAGGTTTCTAACAATCGAATGTTTTGTTAGATATGGAGACTCTTCAATAATAGTAAGAGTCGGTCTGAGACGAACAATCTCGACTTGGATGAAAATCAGCTTCTGGTCAAATACAAACCAGAGCTAAACCATACTACTGATGGTTCTTAACAAGGTTCTAGAGAAGCTTCAATGTTTACCGATTTAGTTGGTGGGTTGTGAAATATACGGCCATTGGTTGGAAAAAGTGGTGAATATGGATCGCTTTACACGGCTCTACTGCGTATTCACCTAGCTTGTCATGTGCAGCTCCAATCGTGGTCCAATCGAAAATCCGAATAATCCCCAACAACCTTGTAACTGTCATTCTTGGCTAGAAAAAGCAGTACAGTAATACACATATGCTCACGACTGATTGGTGGGCTGACCAGCAATACCTCTCCCGGGATGAAGCTGTCACAAATGCCAGCGAGCTCCACACACTCCATATTGGCTACTTCCCAATGCATACATACCCCGGACTTTTTGATAAGCCAGTATGGGCTCTCTGCATTTAGCCCCCATGGCAGCCGCAGCTATAGTGAGTTTGCCAATGTCCTACCACTGCGAGTCAGTCTAAACAACCACCCGGCAATGCTGCAGATCCGACACTTCACTGCCAGCTTTGACCTATAGACAGTCGTTTCTACCCCGCCACATCTTCTTCTCCGGCCTTCTTGTTTTGTTTCTTACTTCCATAGTTGGATGGTAGACTACATGTAGCCAGTGCTGCTTCTGCCCACACAAGCGTATTCGGCGCATTGCTCGGCGGGCAACTCCATCAGATGATAGGGCGGTTTATTAAGAAGCCAAGCATCTTTCATCATTTTGATTTCAGAGTGGTGTTTGAGAATCTATGGGCTCGGACCGAATCCGGATCTGCAGGAGAATGCTGAAGACGTTGCTTGTCCCCGATGAAGCTCCCCAGGAACGGGGATAGCTTGGTCGATTAGCACCAGATTGGGTCGACGAGCATGCTATTCCTGCTAAGATGACTAGAGGGTTGTTTCGAAACATGTCAGCACGAGGAGCAAGAATGACGAGGGTAAATATGGAAATTGGTTACATTGGAGGTAAGACAAACACGAGGGGCCCAGGATTCCTCCATCGTATTACTTCAACTGATATATAAGACGCCACGAGTCCCTGGACTCTGGAATTCTCGCTTATCAGGTCATCCTTCAACTTCAATCCTCAGTTTCAATCCTTCTTGAGTTGTCTAAGAGTCGAAAGAGCATTGTCTTCATACTTCCATCATGACTTTAAAGCAATCTGCTCTGGCTGCCATTGCCGCTGCCGTTGGAGCTCAGGCTCAACTGTTCACTGTCAACTGCTCTCCCCTGACTCAGTTCCGAGGTGATCCCATCGTCTCTCCTGGTGTACTGTCTTCTCATGTCCACGCCGTTGTTGGTGGCACCGCCTTCTCCTTCAGCACGACCCCCGCTCAAGCACGAGCTGCCACTGCTACAACATGTGACAAGATCCTCGATCAAAGCAACTACTGGCAGCCCCAAGTTTACCATCAGCGAACTGATGGCCAGTTTGAGCTGGTTACTTTCCAGGGCAGTGTAAGTTGTCGAATTTCCTGCAGAATTGTTCTTCATAATATGTTGAATTATGCTGATAAGAAGGATAGGCTACCTACTACATCCAACGTGCCTGTGACTATGCCCCTGGCAGAACCAACTGTGACTCAGCTCCTCCTCCTATTGCCCCTCCTCAGGGCCTCATCATGTTGGTTGGAGATCCAACCCGACGGTGCGTAGCTTGAACATGAGCACTCTGATTTTCGGGCGATTTTCCTTTTTCACAGTTCTAACATTTAAATAGTACTTACAATGCCTCGAGCTTTGAGGACCAGGCCATCTCGCACGTTTGCCTTGACCCCAATCCTGTGCCTGACTCCAATACCTTCCCTTCCAAACAATGCCAGCGCATGCGTTCCGAGACATTCTTCCCGTCTTGCTGGGACGGCGTCAACTTGGACAGCAGCACTCACAAGTCTCATGTACGTAAACCCATTTATTCCCTAGCATGGGGTTTCTCGGGCCCCAAGGTATGTATAACGCTAATAAGACCATAGATTGCTTTCCCCGCCATTGGTGCCTACAATGGAGGTGTCTGCCCTCAGTCACACCCAAAGGCCATTTTCTCGGTCTTCTACGAGTTCTTTTATGACACTGGCTCAATCCAGAACTACAACCGCCTTGTCTACGCCGACGGTGATGCCACCGGTTACAGCCTTCACGCAGATTACCTCCAAGGCTGGACTGACCAAAACGCACTCAACAACGCTATCGCCACCTGCACTGGTCCCAATGGTGTCCTTGACAAGGGATGCAGCTTGAATGTCGGACCCAACGGCACTCCTGGTTCTTCTTCGCCCCAGAAGCTCCAGACTGCTGCTCCTACCGAGAACATTGGACTTAACGGCCCAATTGCTGCCCTTCCCGGTAACAACCCTATCCACTAAATCTGTCATGACACCGAAACCATTGCAACTTCGATTCAGCCGATAAGACAGTAATCGACGGCAATCGATCGAAGCAAAGTGGAGCTCTGGCTATCGGGCACTTTATCGAAGTGAGCAGTGAGAATAGGGTTTGCAGTTCGAAGGCAGGTGTTATTGAATGAACGAATGATGATAAGGAATGATGCGAGTCTGCCACAACGGCTCTGTTTTACCGCTAGCTGATTTGGACGTCTGATCAGGGCGATTCAGACCAGGGCTTTAACCGTGCACATAGTTAGCCTTTACTACATACGCAATAAACAACGATGTACATAACAACGATGTTTTTAGGCACTTGTGTCGACCATTCCAAAAATGCTAATATGAATTGACCATAGAGTTGTTAAAATACGAAAGTACCTAGTCTTTGAAGATAAGTATGCGTGGAGAACAAGTCCCCACTTGCCGCAAGCTCGTATTATAAGGGTTATCGTCATATGTTAGCTAGAAAAGATAAAAAAGAAAAGGGGTAAAGTTCATATCCGGCCGAACACGAAATAGTGTTATGAAGATGGAAGCACCGTGTTTTGTTTGGACTTCTTGTCTCACTCACCAAACTCAACAACGGATGAACAAATATCCAAGAATGCAAACAAAAAAAGTAAACCGAAGATGCTTGTTGGACGAACGGGGAATCGAACCCCGGACCTTTCCCATGCGTTAAAGCAGCTCGAAAGCCACTTGATGCTAAGGGAAAATTATACCACTAAACCATCCGCCCATTCGAGCCCTCTGATTGGCTTGGCCAACGGCGAGAATATTCTCTTCATGAATGTTCCGACTAGCGGTGGCCAATTGTGTCGAGAACACAGAGAGCTCTGTTGTCCTAATACTGGCGGAGTAAGCTAAACAGCCAGACAAAGTAGTACTATTATGTGGAGACAACCTCAGTTCTATATGAGTGATGAGCTTGCATATTTGCTCGTCGCAATGTTGTCATTTCTTACCTCAGAGTCCGGTATAGGGCAGGGATGATTGAAATGTTCGAGCCGCCTACCATCTGTTGAGGCCTTACCGATCTGAATTACGATATCGAGGTCATCCTACTCCTTACACGATATCCAGAGCATGACTTTTGTGTACCCAGCTATTTCCGTATATTGTTGAAAATGGATGATAAGATTATCCCGAAAATGTTTATTCAGATCCCGCATGAAGATAGCTTAAGTGAACAGGAAAGAGCAGAACTTCAGAATGACCTATCGGGCTATCCGTTAGGCCTTCAGCAAAGTGTGTGGTGGACCCCTCCATGACTAGTTTATCCCATGCAAGCTCCTTTGATGCGGAGTCAAGATATAATGTCTTGAGTTATTGTCTAGCCAAGGGCCGCCCCTTCTGGGGCTGCTCTTCGATAGATTCGGTGAGGCTACTATCCGCTTCGAATCCAAACAGGGATAAGCTAATAGGAGGGGTATCCTTTTCCCAGCCATTTTAAATACCTTTTAAAAATTGGTCGTAGAATCTTTTAAGATCTTCATTTGCTTCTGGCTGGTAGAAGTCATATCATTCTGGATAGCGATGGACTCGAGTGATGTCTTGGCTGTGCCGAATGTGTGAAAAGACCCTCAAGTATGGAGCTTTGAAGAGAAAAAGGCCAGCAAGTAGATCAGGACGTTGATATTCCTTCTATATATATACTTGCTCTCCCAATAATTATCAAAGGAAAAAGAAAAGAAAAAAATGGCCGTTCAGAGAACATCTCTGACATATTCTCCGCCGAATTTGCACCCGCAGAACCAGACAAGAGAACTTGACGTCGGCCAGGGTTATTTTTTCTTTCTCTCTCTACCGAAGGTATCACGATACACGTCGTGTCGACATTCCCGAGGGACCAAAGCCTTGAGTGCTGGATGCTCATGGCACGACGTGGAGTTGATCTATGAGACGATATCGTGAATTGGCATGCCCGTCTTGCCAGAAGAGCTAAATGCAACGACTGCAGGGAGTTTCTCACTCGCATCTGTATTTGCGGACTTATCTCGTTCTCAAACCAAGAGACATCTATACGTGTGTGTATGGGTGTGTGTGCTCATAGCTTTGTGTGCCCAGTCTTCAGACTTTTCGGATTTCCTGTTCTTGTTTCCCCACTTTCCAAGTACCAACCATGCCTAAATACGACCTGTACAGGATCTCACGGATATGCACCCGCTCAGGGGAACCCTTGCTGCCGACTCTAAAAGAACGAGAGCCGCCTCTCCCGAGTTGGGTTTACTGGTTAGGGCCGATGCTGAGGGCTATACGAGTAATTTACGTGATTGCCCAATACCCCTCGAATTGGGACACTTAAAAAAAGCACTTATATAACATCAGCGGCACCTGTATAACAAAAGAGACATTCTGCGGTTGGCGTTATGGGTAATCATTGTAGATATACAGTCCTTGATCGGTTCTTTTAGACACAGTTTCTACCAGATCGGATTGCACAATCAGATGTCTACTAAGCAGGCTTACGTGTTCTATTGGCGTTGGCCTTTAAAAACCCCTCGACAGACCCAAAAGCCAAGCGTACAGTAAGTCATTTTGCTGTGCAGGGTATATTTTATTCTAGGGTGAGCTAACCAATCACCAGGCTAATGTTGTCGTCATTATGGCCCGGGACGAAGGATTCAAGGGTATCATAGCCCAAGTTATCTTATTTCGTGTAACTTGCCGCCCGAGTTCTTTCCCGGGGAAGTGTGCAAGATGAGTAGCTATCAGCAGACTGCAACGGTGTTGTTACTGCTGCGCGTATGGAATGGTTTGACAGGCGCTGCTCGCCGCTACTCGCGCAGTCCCTCAAAACACTTACCACCAGCGTGTGAAATTAAATCACTCAGCACTGTACATAGCTGGCTAGACACTAGAAATAACTTCAGCTAACAGCCCATAAGTCTACAGAAATTATGACTGCAGGATGCGATATTCCCCCGGATGAGGCAATTAGATGGTGTTGGCACACACTTACAGGTATATAAGGATTGTCGCACTATTTATATATGCTTCATACACATCCACAGACAATAGACTACTATAAAAGATTCATAGAATCTGTCATAAAATTCTCTGGCTAAACATAAGAAGCGAGAAACTTCTTCGTAAAGATATAACTATTAGTGAATATAACAAACTGTCTCTATCCATGTAGTAAAATAGGTTTAAAAGTGACATATCCTGCCTGGAAGTTGAACTTGGATAGTGTTTTACACCCCTTATACTGCATAAAAAGCTCCGTTTGCTTTCTTGCGATATGCTACACATGCAAAATAACGTAGAAGGCTAAATAGATCACTTTAGACTACGAAAGGTATCATACGACCTCTATATAATATATAATATAATCCTGAACAGCAAACTAACCAAGTGAACCTCTTCTGCAGACACCAACAACAAAGCATTTAGTAATACAGCTACGCTAATATCTAGGCCCTCTATGGCTACGGAAAGCCCGACGGCGGCGGCACATGCGCAGGGATCTCAGCATTTGCAATACGAGGCATTATGCGGATAAAGTGAGACACACCGTGCTCATTTCACTCTCTTATGCTACACTGTATGCTCTCTTTCGTGTTATGTAGCGCGTTTATCTGCATAACGTATCGAGTCGCTGATATTTACTATTGTGTCTCGTACTTAGCTCTGCTCGAAATTTCTTATCCAAGAATTTATGTTCCACTGCTTCTTCACTGTTCCAGCTGCCTCGATGCTTGGCTTCTCCGGGGCGATACGACTTAGTGGAGCCGCCGTCGGCATCATGCTACACGTTGGAGAGTCCGCCCCTTTGCCGAGACCCGTTCTCCCTAGCTAACTACTAGTAGCTGAATTGAATCTCCCTACTTGCACGGATATGGTAAAAATAGTATTCAGGCGCGGGATAATCCGCTAGTATAGCCGATGGCTTACTATCGCCAATAATATAGTTCTCCTTAGGAGCTAGAGTTACTTTACAAGTCGCCGCCAATTACAGTTGAAGCTACTCAATTGAAGTCACTATACGCCACGGCCACGCAACTCTGATGTTCCACAGTTATTAATACAGCATATTTATAACTTTTGTGGCTCGGTTTTTTGTTTCATCAAATAAGAATATATATTGCAAAGTATGCTAACAAGGAATCCTCTTCTTAGCGAATGAATACGAGTCCATTTCGGGTCCTAAGTTTCTGACCGCCATATGCGTTCTAAGGGAGTTTTTGAGCGATATATCTCAACCAAGATTTTACGAACTATGTGGTCAAAGTTCTAAAACATTGGCCCAAGTTTAGGGGGCGGTGGACTCGCCTGACCACTGGGTTTCCGGATGCGGTAACCGTTTACCTACATAGTATGATCTATTCATGGAATACGAGCAGCGGCAGATGTATCCCGGACCAGGTACCCCGCTGTTCAACGCACTTAGAAGATTCTAAGCATACAAGCTAAAGTTTGCAGATCCGGCAACGTTGCAGCTCAACAGTTGTAGTAACATAAACGCTTGTTAGTAGATTCAGCAAAGAATTAATCGAAACAATTTCTAGATGCTCAAATTATTACATCACTGTCTTCTGAGTCTCCCTCTAATGTCTAAAACCGAGACCTCGGATTGGGTCGTCGCTGTCAGTTATGTGGATAAACCCCTGCATATCATGCTGAATGACGATGACGTTGAAGTTGGCCAACTATGTTGCATCGCCACCGCAACGCTAGCAGCCTCGACAACAAGTTCCTTTTTTTTACGAGATGCTGCGGGGGCTTTGACTCGCTACATCTCATGGCGCTCGGGTGATCGCATCCGATGGAAAGTTCTTTCGGCGCTCCTGAACATGGCAAAGTTTAATGTGTTGTACTGCATTGATATGGGTTCCAGTCGTATTGTATCTTCTCCACTTGAACCTGTTTTCCTAGAGCTAGAATTCTATAAAGAGGGAAGGTCTTCCCTCCTTCCGGCATCATTTGTTCTTCATCCATCTCACACTTCACTCTACATCCATTGACGCAACTCAGCTACTACTTCACAACAATCTCACATCAAAACACCAAAACCGCCACCATGCAGTTCACCAAGACTTTCATCACAACCCTCTTCGCAGCCTCCAATGTCGTCGCTGCTCCTACTCCTGCCGACAAGTCCATGATGGCCAATGTCCCTCAATGGACAATTGAGAACCTCAAGCGGACGTGCAATACTGCCAACACTTCATGCACTTGGACATTTGCTGTCGACACCCATCTCGCTGCTGCCACATCTTGCACATACGTTGTCAAAGCGGCCAAAGATGCCTCACAAGCCAACGGAGGTCCTGTCACTTGCGGACCTTACACAGTCACATCCGGCTGGAGCGGCCAATTTGGCCCTGGCAATGGCTTCACCACTTTTGCTGTGACCGATGCCGCGAAGAAGCTTATTGTCTGGCCCGCCTATACCGATGCGCAGGTCCAAGCTGGCAAGGTCGTGTCGCCCAACCAGAGCTACGCCCCTACCAACTTGCCATAGAGGGGACTAGCTTTGGTGTCCGATTTTGAATTTATGAACACTTTGGGGACATATAGACGGATAAATAGAGGATTCGGGGAAGGTTGTATATGAAGCTTTGGAAGTTAGAAGCCATAAAGTATAATGTAATGAAATATAATATGATACTCTCTACTTTGACCAGCACCATGTAGGCCTGTAAAGTTCTCGTGCATGATGTACGTAAATATTCGTTGAGTAGATCCAAACTTTTTATATTTCTTTTGGGGCCCTCAAAGGTTTATATAATTTTG